AGTTGTGGAGGACGTCGCTTCACTGGCCCATGTTGGTATTATAATTGCGCTCTTCTCAGGTGAGGCAGATCGGTCGCCGGCTGTTGGACAGCTGCTCATGGCAGCTCACGGCAGCTCACACTGGCTGCTGGCCCCTCACGCTGGCTGCTGGCCACTCACGGTAGCTTACGCCAGCCCACTACAGCCCCACTGCAGCCTATGCCATCACCAGCGTTTCATGGCAGCCCAGCTCCAGGTCAAGCTGTTGTTCACCATCTTAGCTGTAGAGGGCGCAGTGTCACTGGCCCTCATATGTGGGATCCGAACCGGGGCCCTCTGGCATCCCAAGCGAGTTTTTAACCATCGCGCCACTCGGCCAGCCCCTAAATACTCGATTTTTAAAAATTGTTTTTTGCCAGTTTTGCCCATTTTGCTAGGGAGTGGGTGCACAGACTTCCTCATGACTTTGTCCTGGAAGTGGAAGTCCATGTGGGCATGTTATATGACAAAGTAACCACTCTCGGTTTCTAAAATATCCTTCTAGAGACATACTGTATATATCTTTGTAAATGATCTTTTTCAAAACTAAACACTATACATACATTGTGCTTATTGATATTTTGACTTCATAGCTTGGCTTTTGTTTCAAATTTTTACATAAAGGTCTGCGTCAATCTTTTTGATGTCTGTAGTATTTCAATGTATGGATCTAACATAAGTTAAACATATAATTTATAAGTTGAACATTTAATTTGTTTTTAACCTTATTAGTAAATTATACTCTAATGAATGTTCTTATATTTAAATTTTATTGTTAGTTTCAGGTGTAGAGAACAATGCAATAGTTATCCTTTTCACCCTCACAAAGTAACATCCCCCCTCCCCCCATCTACTGCCCTCCCACCCCCGATATCATGCTTATCTATTACAATTCCATTGATTTCATTCCCACTCTACTCCACGTCCCGTGAGTGTATGTATATATAATTATAGTTGACATACATTATTATTCAACATCAGTTTCAGATACACAGTGCAGTGGTCAGACCTCTACACCGACTATGAAGTGGTCTCCCTAACAAGACATGAGTCCATCTGGCCCCCTAAGAAATATTTACAACATTATTGATTATATTCCTCAGACTCTCTTTTCTATCCCTGAGGCCATATTGTAGTTACCAATTTGTATTGTCTCATCTCTTCCCCTTCTCCTTCATCCCCACCCCCTCCCAACTAGCAACCCTCAGTTTTTCCTCTGTGTCTCTGAGACTATTTCTGTTTACATTTCTCTCTAATGAATGTTCTTGAACTATATGCATCATTTTAAACATATGCAAGTGTGCCTGTTGGATAAAATTGCTCCAAGTGGAATTGCTTTCAAAAGGGTATATCTTTTTAATTTTGTTATGTATTGTCAAATTGATTTCAGTAGAGGTTATACCAATTTACATTACTGCTAACAGTGAATGGATATCCATTTCTCCATACCCTGTCAACACAGTTTCATTCAATTCTTATTTGGAAAAGCATATAATGAATCATGGATAGAGTATGATTGATTTTCATAAGTCAATTGTTTTTTTTCCTAGACTCTGTGTGTGTGTGTGTGTGTGTGTGTGTGTGTCTTAGTTATGAGACTCAGTCTCTAAAGCAGAAAATAGTATCAACTTGGATATAGGTAAGCAAACTTGTTTCGGAGGATCAAGAATTGATATAATCTTTTAAATCAGAAAATGTTCTTTAAAGTGTTTTTAAAAGGTTGGTTCTGAATGGTTAAATTCTAGTAGCATAGAACACATTTGGCAGTAGGTGAAACTGCCATTTTTATAATTGATGGTGTTTCTATGTGGTTCTGAAAATAGTAGGCTTTAATGCCAATCTTTTTTTTTTTAGCTGAGCCATCCTGCCAACTGTTGGCAGCTCAGCTCAGGGCGGGAATCGAACCGGCGACCCTGTTGCACTGAGCAAGCTCTTAACTAACTGAGCCACTCGACCAGCCCACCAATCTTCTTTTTAAAGAGGGCCTTTTGAGCCCTGATTATCACCAACTAATGGCTCACTAAGTATCTTACTTTTGAGATGGTAAAAATAACCTCTGATACCATGTTAGTATGATTTAATTTTGACAGTTTTATTTTAATGAATTATCACATTGTAAATATTTCATATTAGCCAGATATGTAGAGATAATTCAGTACATTTAATTTGGCCAGTTGTTTCTCAGTGTCAAAGAGCTCAGCTCATTTAATGAGTTGAAATATTTTGAACAGTTGTAGAGCTTACATTTCAGGAAATTCTGAAGCTCTAGGTTTTCTTATCATAAATTACCTTTGAATTAATAGCTAGTTGTTTCTTTGTTTATTCGTTTAACAAATAATTATTTAGTGCCCACTATGCTTCTGGCACTGGGAATACAGTACTTGAGAAGATAGATGCCATCTCTGCCCAGATGGAGTTTAAACACTCGATGAGAATAAACAGTAAGCAAGTGATGAAGTAAGTGGACATAATTTTAAATTTTGAGAAAGGCTACGAAGGACATAAACAGGATGGGATGAGAGAGTGACCGGAGAGTTGTCAGGGATGGGTGTTCAAGAAGGCCTTCTTGCAGAGGGACGTTTGATCTGAGGTTTCTTCTAAAAGATGAGAATAAGCCAGTCTAGGAATATCTGGAAGAAGAACATTCCAGGCAGCGGGAGCAGTACAAGGGCTCAAGGGAGTTGAGGGAAAAAGGAGGTCCAGTTTGACTTAATGGTTAAGAAGCAAGAAGGAGAATAGAATGCAGTGGGATTGGAGAGATGCAGGGCCATCTATCTTACAAATCTGGTAGGGAGTGCTGTGGGGAAACAATTAAAATATATATTTTTAAAGATTTTTATTGGGGAATTAGGGGAATAGGAACAGTTCTGGGGAATTGGGGGAAGGGGAACAGACAAGTTGCTGTCGTTTTGTTCTTCAATCTAGTTGTGGAGGATGTTGCTTCACTGGCCCAAGTTGGCACCATCATTGCGCTCTTCTCTGGCGAGGCAGATCAGTCGCCGGCTTCTGGACGGCCGCTCACGCTGGCTGCTGGCTACACACGGTAGCCCATGGCAACCCACTGCCACAGGGGCTGCAGCCTACGCCGTCGCCGGCGACTCATGGCAGCCCAGCTCCAGGTTGAGCTGTTGTTCAGCATCTTAGCTGTGGAGGACAGTGTCACTGGCCCTCATATGTGGGATCCGAACCGGGGCCCTCTGGCATCCCAAGCGAGTTCTTAACCATCGTGCCACTCGGCCGGCCCAATTAAAATATTTTTAAGCAGGGTTGTAGTGTGGTCTAAATTGATGTTTAATAGAGGACACTTTGGCTTTTTCATGGAGAATAGTTATGAGGAGGTCTGAGTGGAAACAGGGGCACCAACTAGGAGGCTGTTGAAGTCTATATAAGAGATAATGATAGTGATTTGTATTCAAGTGGTGGTGGTAGAGATGGATAGAAGTGGACTGATGTGAGAGATACTTGTATTACAGAGGTAGAACAGACAGGACTTGATGATAGCTTAATTAGAAGTGGGAATGAGAACAAACAAGGACTTTTGAGTTTTTTGAGTTGAGCAACTGGGTTGATGGTGGTTCCGTTTATTAATAAGAGGAATACTGATGAAAGAACAGGAGAGGTTATTTCGGTTTGGGGGGAAGGCAAGTTGAGAGTCAAGTTCTGTTTTGACCTACTTAAGTTTGAGATGCCTATTAGACATTCAAGACATATAAGTAGGCTGTTGGAAACGGGGGCTTGAAGCTTAGGAGAGAGGTTGGAACTAGAGAAATAAAGTGGAATTCATCAGCATGGACAATATTTCATCAGTTCCAAAAACACACTTTTTTTCACTTTTTAACTTCTCAGAGATCAGGATGCATCTTCTGATTGATGTCAGCCAGGCAGCAATCATGATATAGTTGTCATTTGCTGGGTTTGAGTGTGCACAGGCAGATTACCAGAACTAGACCTTGCACAAAGGATGTCAGCAGCTTGGAGAAAATTTTTGGAGACAGTATTGGAGCACTGTTCTAAGTCTCAGAAATCAAATGACTTAGAGGAAGAGGGTAGGGAAGCAGTGAACCATACATGTTGTGGACTTTTTTTGAAACACGAGGCAAAAGTGGATTAGCTTTATGTAACTGGCATCCTGGCACCAGTAGCTTTTAGTTCTTTTAAGAAGTGCTGCATCATCAACACTCTGGCACAGACGATGCCATTGTGTGAACAAGCATAGATATGCATAACTCCAGTAGAAAAGGCATTCAGAAGAGTTGGACTCGGAATGTGAAGTTTTAGAATTATTTTCACCACTAATTTTGTATATATTTACCACTTCATGTTTATAAAAATGATATATGATCAAAATCTGCCTACATCTAAAACTTTTAGTCATTATAAAATTTTTAAAAATTCAAAGTTTTGAGAAGGCATTGTGTTATATATAATTTAATAGGCAGTTTTTTCTTAGTGATGAATAAAAAATGCTTGTTAGAATTGATAGCTTTTCAATGAAGTACAGTAGGTAATAGTTAAGGCCAGGGAATAAATGGGTCACTTAGCCCTGAGTTCTCATAAAGAATTACAGTTTTTTAGCTACTGTTTACACAGACCGCCTCGCCAGACTTCCTCCTCTTCCTTCAAGACTCAATTCAGTTATCTTATTCTTCTGAAAAAGCCTTCTTTCTGATACCTTCCATTGCCACCCCAGTGGCTAAACACAGAATTTTCAAAAGTGAGGCCATAGATTAGCAAAATGGTTCTCACTTTATCCACTGGGTTTTATTTTTCTTCTGTTTGTGCTTCTAGGAAGAAATGTGGAAGGTTATGGTGGGTGTTTATTCAAAAGTAACCCAAGACTGATGGTAGGAATAGAACATAGCAAATGAATCAGACAGTAAAGAGCCATCTTTGTTTTCTGATAGTTTTTGCTAACCAAATATTTCTATCCCCATATAGCCACCCTTACTTATTTTGTTTTCTGTTTTCGTTTTTTCTTTAAGAAATTTCCTGAGGAAAGGACAGTAGACGTGAGCTCTATTCAGGTAAATAAACACATTTTATCATGTTCAGGGAATTCATACAGCTTCATATCATTAAAAGAATTTATACCTTCATTTTTTTCCCAGATCTTAAGTCTGCTGCCTCCACAAAGTCAAAATGAAATGTTTGCCTTCTGAATTTATTCCAGTGACTTTTAGGTGAATTTATTGTTACATACCATTTACAGTCTTCTCTAAAGATAGAACTATTTATGGTTTTGGCTCTTGTTGTGACCGTGCGTCTCATTTTGGAATACAGTTGCATGCATTCAAAGTGTGACTATAATAAGGCCCATTTAGCAAAAGCATACACAGTTGTCTCATTATTATAGAAACCCTGATGTGTATGTATTTAACATAGATAGTAATATAATAATGTCTGTTCCTGTGTTATATATTTCACAGAGGGTGGGAGTAATGACCCATTTCCATTTCACAATACTTACTCAGGTGAACAGCTAAAATTTTTTGCCAATATAATAAAAGGAATGTTTAGCTCCTAAACTTTGGGTACTTTCTAAGTCTGAATGTTACGTAGTGACTGAGTTGCAGTTACGAACCTGTCTCCTCTGAGCTAACTCTTGGTATGTGCATCCAAGATGCCGGGAACTTTTCCTCGGCAAAGAAGAGGAGGTAGAGAATAAACATAGTAAATATTTGATAAGTAATTATCCCCTTTTTTTTGCCTATAGGGAAAGAAATGGAGCTGGTATTTGGACTATTTATTTTCAGAGGGGTTACAAGGCTTGAAACTTTTCATAAGAAGTAGTATCCATCATTCTTCTGTTTCCTCATCAAAGAGCATAAACCCCATGATCAACATGAAATGAATGCTGATAGAAACAAACCGAGCATACTGGACTAAATTCCTTCTGTGTTGCTAGAGAGGCCTGGTGGCTCAACTTGAGTTTCCATATTCTGATTTTCACCAACAGACTGACATCCTCATGGAGTGCTTGGACTGACCTTCTATCCATGGCTCAGGAGACCTTCAATGTGGCTAACTTTGTGTTTCAGGATCTAGAGTCTTTAGCCCCCTAGTGAAAAATGATTTCATCATCAAGCTCTGCCTTTCACCAAATTATATATCAAGAGATACATCATTATGTTTTGAGGTTTTTCACATTTTTGTGGAGTATAACTTGCGCTGAAGGAAGAGATCAGGTAATACAGGGGCAGTTAAGCCACAGACATATTCATGCAAAATACTCTGCTCAATCTCTGTGAAACCTCTGTGAGTATTGCCATTTTTCTTACTGTGAACAACTGTACCAAAACCCAGTTAACAGGATACGTTTCTAACTCTAAAAGCTAGCTTTAAGTAGTTAGTAGAGTCCTTGGCCTTCACAGATAGCAATTTCATGAGAGAAGGAAGGGGAGAGAATTGTGGGATAATCAAGAAATTAGCATTTCATAAAACTGCTCTCTTTTGTGTGTGTATAGTTATATATCCCATTTTTTAAGTCTTTAAGCACAAATGAATTAATTGCAATTTTGTTTTCAAGGATAATTATGAAGGTTTAAAAAATTTTTATAATAATTAAAATAACTTGCTGAAAATTTACTATAAAATTTTGCTTCAGTGCTACTCAGTAACTCCCCCTTTTAATAAAATTCATATCATTTGAGAAGTGAAGCTGAATTTTTGTTTTTAAGGGCACATTTTTGTTCGTTTTTTTGTTATAAAGCAAAACAAATCCAATGTCAATCCTAAACTATATTACTAGATAATGTTCCGAATAGAATCACATTCATTTATTTTTGAATTCAGTACATATTTATTGAGCTTATCATGTGCCAAATATTCTTCTGTGTGCTGGTTATACAGCTGTGGCCAATACACAGTACTTCCTTTTGTGGAATTTACTGTATCCTATTGGAGAAGACAGATAATAAAAATGTAGATAAATATATAATATCAGGTGCTATAAAGAAAAAAGCATGGAATAGAGATAGAATATTGAGAGGATCACTATTTTAGATAAGGTGGTTAAAGAAGGCCTGTTTGAGCTGGTGACATATGCAGAGGCCCTATTGACATGAGTGTATGAATCATGTAACTATTTGGGGAAAGAGCATTCTGGAAAGATGTAAAGGCAAGTGAAAAAGCTTCAAAATGTTAACTTACTTGGTGGCTTATTTGAGAAGCATCAGAGAGGTCAGTAAGGTTACAACATAGTGATTAAGGGAGAAGAATGTTAAGAAATGAAACAGGAGAAAACCAGTTCATGAAGTTCCTTACAGCTTGGTATGGATATGTCATGGGAAACTGTTCAAAGGATTGAGAGCAGAGGCGTGACATAATTTGACTTAACTACATGGAGCTTCAGGGTGAAGTTTAGACTAAAGAGGATTTTGGGTGAAGAAAGAGAGACCAGTTAGGTTAGTAGTGTTCCAAGCAAGAGTCTTAGACTAGTGTGGCTGAGGAGGGAGGAAGAGATGGTTACATGCTGGATTCAGGCTCTACTTTACAGGTAGAGAAGGTAGCATCTGCTGATAACTTAGACATAAGGTAAAGGATGACTCCTACGTTTTTGACTGAGCAACTGGGTGAATTCTGGGATGCAGAGATGAGGCATCTTGGAGGAGGAACCGATGTGGAATCAGGAGTTCTATTGTGACCATGTTAGGTTGGAGATGCTGAGTACGCAATTGGATATCCAAGGCTAGAGTTCAAGGTACAAGTGGAGACTAAAGACTGGCAAATTAATTTGGGAGTCATTAGTGAATAGCCATGATATTGGATGAGATCACTTAGTGCAGCTAGAAAAGAGAAGGTGACAAAAAACTGAGCCCTGGGGTGTGTCAACTTTAAGAAGTAGAGAAGAGGAAGAACCAGCAAAAGACTGAGAAGGACCCTCCAGTGAGCTAGAAGAAAAGTCAGGAGACTGATGTACTGGAAGCCAAGTGAAGAAGGCATTTCAAAAAGGAGTATTTAATGGTGTGGTATGTTGCCGGCAAACTTTATTTAGTTGCTTCAAAATAAGTGTGATAGTTTCTGCAATGGGTAATCTCATATAGAGGTCTCTTGTTTTTAAATTTGTACTCCAAATAGCTTTCCATATTTTTCAGAACATGATATTTTGATCTTTAAGATTGCATAGAACTTTAACTTGTGAGAAGAGATCTGATTATTTAACCCCTAACAATATTCAGATTATTGGAGAAACTTTTCTAAACTTGTTTACATTCCAGAAGAAAAAAAAAATTCCCTTAGGTTTGACATTTGTTCAATAATTATTCCCTGGGCACCTTTTTGCCCCAGTTTTTCCTTGATCAATGTTTTAACTCACTTAAAGTTAGATATGTGGCTATAAAAATCAGCCAAACCTAGTTATTTGAAAACTCTTTTTGGAAGACTTTGTGGCAAACTAAAACAAGGTTCATAAAAGAATAGCTATTTTGCTTCGGTGGAAAAGATGTCTAGAAATAAATAGAAAATTTGGTTTGTTATCCCAATTGTACACAAAAAATACTTTGTTTACCTAGTATTTGTGCAAAATTGTTGACATAAATATTCACTTAATGTTCAATGCTAAAGGTGTTATTAAATTTGTAACATTTTATTTTCCATTTTATCATAAAACTTCTTCCTTGGCTTTGGGGATGATCTGGAAAGAAAAGTAAAGTCTATAGTGCCTCACATAACTTTTATTAACATAGTAGAAGTTCTCTCTTTACCTTTTAGGTTACAAAATGGTTTACTGAAAAGAAAAGAAAAATCTCTAAAATTGGTATTAATACCAGGGGTGCTAAAAAATGTATACACATGATTTGTATTCATCTTTTGTTATTGGTGTATATTCAGTATTACAATTTTAATACAGATTTTTCCTTTCTTAAAATGTTATACAAGGGCCGGCCGAGTGGATCAGTTGGTTAAGAGCTCGCTGAAGAGTGCGAGCTCTGAGCAACAGGGTCACAGGTTTGACTTCTGGCCCGAGCTGAGCTGCCGCTGAGCTGCCAACAGGTGGCAGGATGGCTCAACTAAGGAAAAAAACAAAACAAAACAAAAAAATGTGTATACAGTTTTTGGCACCCTCTGTATTTTTAAGATTTCAGTTGATACTACTTTTCACCTAATGAATTTTTAAGTTTTTAAAGTAGATTCATTTAAAATTTTTATTTCTAATAAATATGGATGCTGTGGGCTGAATGTTTATGTCTCCCCAAATTCATATGTTAAAGCCCTAACCCCCAATGTAATGGCATGTGGAGGTGGAGACTTTGGGTGGTAATTAGATCATGAAGGGGGAGCCTTTATGAATGGGATTGGTGCCTTTATAAGAAGATACAAGAAAAATATGACCTTTCTCTCCACCATGTGAAGAAATAGCAAAAAAAGCCGCTGTCTACAAGCAAAGAAGAGGGCTTTCACCTTAACCCGCCATGTTGGACTTCCAGCCTCCAGAATTGTGAGAAATAAATTTCTGGGTTTTTTTTTAAGCCACCCAGTCTATGGCAGTTTTGCTATAACAACCTGATCTGACTAAGACAGTGGGCAAGTGTTTAACAGAACATATTGTTGACCTGAATTACCAATGTTTTAATTTTATAATATTCAGAAAAGGATATCTTTCCAAGGAGCATAATAGTACATGTGAATTAAAGTCTACTTTTAAGTATATACCAGTAAAGCCAATTTTTTCAGCTTTCTAGGAAGAATATTAGTTTATCTAACTAGATTTGGTGCACAGAGCTGAAGGCTGGATGTCAAGGAGTTCTTCCATTGCTTCTAGTTAATGAGTTGTATGACCTTGGAAATCACGTAAGCACTTTGCCTCTTCATTCCCTTTTTGGTAAAATTTAGGTTTTAATGTCTGCTTTTCAAAGGTTTGACATATAAAATGATAGAAAATCTGTAAAATTTCATTGAAAAGCCAAAAAGGGGAATATGGTATAAAAAGGTGTTTCCTACCTTTGAAGTATATCCAATCAAAGTATAGCTTATAGAAATGCAATTAAAGACTATCTATCCCAGAAGGCAGGAGCTTACCGAGGTAACATGCCTTTTCTAAACTTTACCCTCTGGGTGTACAGAGGTTGCCTGAGCCTTTCTGGAAAAAGTGCTGAAAGTATGAATGAATAAGGACCTGTGTAATAGTTTGACATCCTGGGCATTTATGAGTATTCCAGCCCTGGATACAATAGCACAGTTAACATCATGTTTGAAATTGAACGACACTGAATTTTTTATATGCTGTACTTGCCCCTTGTATCTATTTGTAGGCAACTTTTTGTTAGCTGGGGTAATGAGAAAGAATAAAGTATATATATATATATTTTTTTAATTAGACATTAATCTTAACTTAAAAAAATAGAAATTCATTTTTCTATTTATAATCAGCTTTGTGGACTAGGTTAAATACACAAAGTTGATCACCAGTTTTTGCATAGTCAGTTAAAAACTAATGTGGAGGACTCCTGGATGATAATGTGCAGATCTCAGTGGAACATCTACCCAGAGAAATATCTGTCTACTATGTCAGAATTAGCAAAGACAATCATTCAGAGTCCCTGGAGAATGATAAAAGGATTTACAATGAATTGAAAACCATTCATTCAAAATCTGTAGAACCAGTAATAGTAGTAGGACGCGACAACTTCTGCGCTAGAGGCAATACCCATCCCCCACCATCCATCTCTGGGTTACAGAAGAGGTGTTCCAGTGTGCTCAGCAGCCAAGTGGCAGCTCCCGTCTCTCCTAGACACTGTTGCATAATACAGAGGTTCTGCCAAGGAGGGGGTCAGAGAAAACCTCAAAGACTGGCAATACCCTGGCCCTGCCTGAGGGGCCTAACTTTATTGTGGAGCAATTTATGCCTCCAAGGAATTGTCCAAAATAAAAACCAGCTAATAATCAGTGGAGTCCAGAAGCATGGTATGATACCAATAGAGCCAGAACAACCAGAAGTTTAGCAGAGAGATCAGAGAAAGAGCAAAGGAGGCCTGGTGGTAAGGAAGAATGTGCACATGCCTATGGCCACACTCTCTCAGGAGCAACTGGAGAGGAAACTGCTTTGCTATTAGTCCTTGACTAAATGTGGGAGAAACTTGTATAGTCCTTGAAGTGTGAAAGCAGTGTCCAGGCCACACAGATAAAACAGCAAAAAATGAAAACCTTATTGTTTCAAGGGCTTAAGCACAACTCTGATCAATCAGTGTCTGACTGCTAAACTACTGACCCAGGGATCACCCTTAAGAAGCCAGGTTTAAAGATAATAACACAAAAATCCTAACAGAAAAATTAGAGGCTGCACACTGTGAGGGAATACACTTCACAGACTGCATTGTTCTGCTTCTGCGCATGATTTAGTTGGTGATCAGCCCATGAAGTCTACTTTGGAGCATTCAGGCACTGACCCCAGCTTTCTGACTTCTCTCTACCCTACCCCATTTCTGTGCTCCCTCAGAATATGTGTAGAGCTGCTCTGAATGGCTGTTAACACCTTAGATCACTAACTGATTCTTCTTTCTCTGTCCTCCTGCTGCTACTACCTCTTGAATTTCCTGTCCTCACTCAGTGCATGATGGGAAAGGTATTAGGTTTACTGCTAATGAGGACATTTGGCCGGAAAAGGGTACGTTATACATCATACAGATGTGACTCTAACATGGGCTAACACTGTCCCCTGTGAACTAGAATGAGCTGCTTATGTTGGGGGGTGGGGGAACCAGGTGTCAAAGTTCAGAAGCTCTATTCCAGGTCTCAGAGATGAGCATTATATTCATACAGTCTGAGATGGGGTTAGCAATCGTTCTGTCCTCAGAATGCTCCATCCCCTCCACCTTAGGACAAAGATTTATCTAGGGTGCAGGGTACTGGTGTTTTCTCAAAACAGAATGAAGCCTCTGCTTAGGGGAGCCTGCAAATTGGCCAGACATTGGGACTGGGGAGCTGTTTGTGGAGAGGTCCAGGTTTGAGTAGGACAAAGTTTCTGAGCCGGGCACCCTCCCAAGCAGGGGCCTCCAGGAATCCAGGGATAGGTACGGGGGGGCTTGCTCTGGGTTAGAAGGGACCCACACTGTTCCATTAAGACACTGTGGGGTGGACATAGTTCCCAAACAGAGACACAGGGTGGCAGCACTCTCCTTCCCCCAATATCTGTCAATGGAAAATTCTTTCGCCTAAGAGATAGGAGAGGTTTGGGGAACCTGAGAGATTCCCCGTGCATTTTTGGAAGAAATTTTACCTAAGATTTTATTAGCCTAACTTGTATTTTAATACACAGGCTCATTCTTTATCCCCTTTCTTTGCTTCTCCCACTGCCATGGCGATTGTGGGTGACTGTTTGTTGCTTTAGGGTGTAAGGTGGTGGCCTCTTAACTCCTCAGTTTTACCTGGAACAATTAGGTCTAAAGTCTTAGAGTTCTCCAGTGGGGGATCATCTGTCATCTGTCCTGCAGGGTCTGGTGTGGATGACCCTGTGGGAGAAGTCTCTATTCAGGTGGACTTATTTACTCATCCTGGAACTGGGGAGCACAAGGTCACAGTGAAAGGTGAGTGGCATGGACTTAAAGGTCTCAGACCTTTTCTTGCCCAGTGGCCTCATCAGTCAAAAGCAGGGGCTGCTTATCCCAGCCCTGCAGCTTAGCCCTCCTCCATGGGGAATGCCACCCGGGGCTCAAGAACTGGGCATGCTTGGTGGGGTCCCTCACAAGTTTTCTTTGTTTGAGAAGTTGTGGCTGCCAATGACCTCAAGTGGCAGACAGCGGGTATGTTCCGGCCCTTTGTGGAAGTGACCATGGTTGGCCCACACCAAAGTGATAAGAAGAGGAAGTTCACAACCAAGTCAAAAAGCAACAACTGGGCCCCCAAGTACAATGAGACATTTCATTTGTAAGTTATGGGGTGGGGGACCTGCAGGACCCTGGGATGGGGGTGCTCTGGGGGATGAGGCTTGAGAGGGGAGAGGGGCAATGGGCTGGATGGCAGCTGGGATGAATTCAGGGGAAGACTCCTTCATTTGTGACCTCCTGCTTTCCACCTACCCTGTGCTCACAGCCTCCTGGGAAATGAAGAGGGGCCGGAAGCCTATGAGTTGCAAATATGTGTGAAGGACTACTGCTTTGCCCGGGAGGATCGCGTTCTAGGGCTGGCTGTGATGCCTCTGAGGGATGTGGCAGCCAAGGGCAGCTGTGCCTGCTGGTGCCCCTTGGGCCGGAAGATCCACATGGATGAGACAGGCATGACCGTTCTTCGGATTCTGTCTCAGAGGAGCAATGATGAAGTGGCTCGAGAGTTTGTGAAGCTCAAATCGGAGTCTCGTTCCATGGAAGAGGGGAGCTAAGCTCCTGTGCCAACCAGATGGCACCAGTTCCACAAGTCAGGGCCAGTAGGAGTTACTATGTAGCCAGCTTAGGGTCCTCATTATCAAGAGGCTGACTCCTTTAGTTAAGAAAATTTAAGAAAAAATTTGAGGTGGTAAGAATTTGGCTTTTCACAGAAAGGGTCATGAATCCCTGACCAGCAGGTCTGTGGTGCTAGATGCTGGGCTGTGGGAGTTACCACATAGGGAGATTTTCCATAAAGAGAGAAGGACAGACATTTCTGAGAGTGTCAGCCATTCTTGGTAGACATCCCTCCACCCCACACCCCACATTTACCCCTCTCCAGACCACACCTTATCCAGTTGGACCCATATGTACCAATCATTAGTAGAACAAGTTTAGAGGGCCAGGAGCTTGTGCCTGGCTAACTAAGCAGTCAGTTGAGCCTATACGTATCACTGAGCCCTGGCGTTGGGATTCGAGTCTGGCCAGGGCAGGAGCAAATAGAATAGAATTCAGACTGTCCCTTGAACAGAATACGCTGTTTTTTTTGTGGCTCCTGTGAGAACAAGGCTTTGAAACTGAACAAGATACCTTCTAGAAATGAGCTGTGCTAATCCCTTCCCCCAGATTACGAATTTACCTGTGATGAACAGAAGCAGTTTCACATGGTGCTTCAGAGCCTTGAGCAGAATATTTTTTGGAACCCAAGCACCAGGGGTCACTTTCCCAGGAGTCCCCCTACCTCACTCCTGTAGGAAGGGGAGTGATGCTTTAGGACATGAGAAACTTGTTATGTGGATGCACCTGAGGGCTAGTTGAAGGATCTGTATTTTCTTCTTGGGTAGGCCCCAGAACAAAGCCAAAAGTTTTGTAAATCAGTTTGGAAAGAGTCCTCAAGTCCTCCTCACCTATGGCCACCACCTTCTGGCTGCCCCTCCCCTTGTAGAAAGAATCTAGCCTTTGACCTCACTCCCTTTTATCTAGGTCAGCTGCTAGTCCCCTCATAGATGTTTAGCCCTACAGAAGGAGCTTGGACTATGATCCCTCTGTACAGGCTAGATGGAGGGGACCCTCAACATTCCCTGGTAGGTCAGAGACGGACTCTTTCAGGGGGTCATGTGGACTTCCCAGGCCTTTGCTCAGAGATGTGACATGCTCCTGTAATATCCTTGGTAGCAGCCTCCTGGATTTCCTTCCTGGACTTCCTGTGAACTCTGTGTTGTCCACAGCTGTACTAGCCATTACATGAAACAACAAACTAAGGATCTTTGCTGTTGTTAATTATTGTATGTGCCATTGTTACAAAAGATTATTGCCTAATCTGTAATAAATTATCTTATAGCAGTCTTTGGGGTCTTGTAATTCTGCTAAAGTATGGAAAGCTGTAGAAATGACTATCCTATATAGTAATAGGTTTTTGGGACAGTGGCACTTTGCTGTTCTTCCCACTCCCCTCCAATTCCACCCCCCTGCCCCACTCCTCCACCCCACCCCTCAAGTGGTGGCGCCTAAAGCAGCTCCAGATAAGCACCAAGCAGTAAAGCAGCCAATGTGCTAGCATCTTGGCCTTGACCTGAGATCACCAATCCAGTTAACAGAATCATGGGACCCAGGGTATCAGCTTTCTGCAAAAGGTCAAGTGTAGGAAATGACATGTGCCAGTGAAAACTAGTCCATGCTGTCTTTCCTCTTCTAGAATCACGAGGCACTTCTATAACAGACACAGCCTGGGCTGCGAGGACAAGGCAGGGGCCTACTGGGGAGAGATGTGCCTCCAGAAGTTGGTGAAGGGCTGAGGCTGCCCTGTACAGGACAGAGGTATAGGCCTAGGAGTGCACAGTGGCCTTTCATTTGGGAAAATTCAAGGAAGAAGAGCCGGAGTAGAAAGGGGAGGAAACAAGGTAAAAGAGAGGCCTCCTGGCATGGGAATCAAGAGAAGCTGAAGCAGGAAAAGTGTTCACGTTCTCTCTCAGCCTGCACTGTTCCCACTTACGGGGTGGGGACTGAGTGAGGGCACA